AATCATTCAGATGTTCATTGGCAAACAGACGGGCATGTATATGTGCTTTCTTGAGCAGGGGGACCTTGCGGGCGCTGCAAGATTTCAGTCCTTCACGGCGTAGTGTGTTACCGATTGTTTTCTTGGTGACTATGGTCCCAGCTGCCTTGAGATCATTGACAAGATCTTCCCGTGTAGTTCTGGGCTGATTCCTCACCGTTCTCATGATCATTGCAACTCCACGAGGTCAGATCTTGCATGGAGCCCCAGGCCGAGGGAGATTGACAGTTCTTTTGTGTTTCTTCCATTTGCGAATAATTGCACCAACTGTTGTCACTTTCTCACGAAGCTGCTTGGCAATGGTCTTGTAGCCCATTCCAGCCTTGTGTAGGTCTACAATCTTGTCCCTGACATCCTTGGAGAGCTCTTTGGTCTTGGCCATGGTGGAGAGTTTGTAATCTGATTGATTGATTGCTTCTGTGGACAGGTGTCTTTTATACAGGTAACAAGCTGAGATTAGGAGCACTCCCTTTAAGAGTGTGCTCCTAATCTCAGCTCGTTACCTGTATAAAAGACACCTGGGAGCCAGAAATCTTTCTGATTGAGAGGGGGTCATTAAAATGCAAATCAATTTATAACATTTTGACATGCGTTTTTCTGGATTTTCTTATTGTTATTCTGTCTCTCACTGTTCAAATAAACCTACCATTACAATTATAGACTGATCATTTCTTTGTCAGTGGGCAAACGTACAAAATTAGCAGGGGATCAAATACTTTTTTCCCTCACTGTATGTGTGTGTGTCTATGTCTCTGTAATTTGATGGCGTTTCCATGTAGATATCTGGGACAAGTCACGGACAATAAGAAGGAATAAGGCCGTGCATAATATGAGTTTTCATGGACCCTACTACCCCTCGCGATTAATCGGATTTGCGGGTTATTTGGTCACGGATAATAGTTATTGTATATATTGTCCATTTGTTTCACTTGGCCAGCTTTTGCCCATGAACAGTGCTGCAAATATCTTCCAGCAAACTGACTGAATGAGCTGTGATTTCGCCAACGTAACACAAATCAAGGCTGTACAAAATCACCAGTAAGCACGACCTCTCAGTGGTCACAAGATGCCGAAACTTAAAAACCTAAAGTGGTGAGGCATGTGTAAAAAGGTATTTGTGTACCCCATGGTATAATACGCTGCTTGGATCATGTTTGGAAATAGTAACGTTTTTTTGGTTTTAAAAGTGATAGCAAAAGTATCCTTAAATGTCTTTTTATGGCTGTTCTTTTTTCACTCTTTGGTTCTTTCGGTAAAGTCACGTAGAAAGTAATTCCTGCAGTCACAAAAGCTTCAAATCTAGTTTGTTCTTTTTTTTGTTAGACAGGTACAATATAGGCTTATTAAATGGTAAACTGGTACCCGTTTACGGAATCTATTAGCACTTATGACAGTCAGGAACTGGTAATCGTTTGAATGTTCATAATGAATGCACTGAATGGCCCCCGTGAACGTTCAAACGGCATGGCGCGGCTGAAGTCACCGCGTGGTAAATTCGTCAATGTTTTTCAGTTGAAAGGCAAAGATGCAAAACTCTGCAGTTGCCTGCTATGCTCACGCCACTGCTGGCAGAAAGGGCCACCACGAGAGTGATCTCTGCAGGGTATTTGGTCTACTCATCCATGCCTAGCCAGACATCTTGGAAAAGATGGGATTACCCACACTTTACCCCACCGCACACGTGGCATTCCGATTAATTAACTTTGGTATGCAATTAGACTTTTGTTAAGATTAGTGTTCGGCACAGATTTGGAACACGTTCCACTACAAGGAATTGTAACGGGTCATAGTGGCAAGTGAGCTTCTCACGTGTTGAAAGAGGGGAGTGTAACCACAATTGGCCACACGCTAACTGCCGACCAGCTACCCCATTATACCCCTGGGTGTAGACAGATTTAAGAAAATTGCACCAATGTTTCAGAGGATTGCCAGTTTGGCGTGCTAGCCATGACACCATGATAGTTCCCTTTCGTTTCTAAATTTAAAAGGCAACGGTGTTATTTTTTTATTTCTAGAGATTTCTGTACATGCGGCAATAAAACCGAGAGCCGGTGTTTTTTTAGGTGATTACCGGTAACGCAACAACAAAAAAGGATTTTAGTACAATCTACTTTTACAGATCAGCATCTATCAGCTTGATGTTTGATTGTTTCACAGATTAACCTTTTTGATAGTGGTTTATGAGTTCAGTGGTGCTGCGATTGATATATCCTCAAAGTGGAGAGGCTTCTAATTATACACCCCCTTTTTTCACCATTTTTTATTTATTTTAAAAAATGCACACGTTCAATTGAATATAAAACCTCTTACACGGCGTAAATGAAGCCTGCACAGAAGGTAAAATAAAATCAGCTTTCGAGATGCCTACATGTAATGCCTCGATTGATGCTGGACAGGTTCCTGGAGCATTACATTTAGTGGGTGAGCAGCAGCGGTCTGTGTGCTCAAAACGCTCTCTCAATTTCGCTCTACCCATGACGTGTGCTCGTAATCACAGGGCCAGGGAAAACTACAATGTGCGGTCAATCTTCCGCATCTCCAGCTTCAAGCTGACAAAGCGTTCTTTTCCAGGATATTTGTTCTTGCATATTTCTCATCAGTTTGTGAAAGCTCCTGGAGCGTAATTCACATAATACTAGGCCAAATACCGTGTGATCTAACTGTATGTAAAATCGACACCAAGGCTTACTAATCTACAAAACTCATTCGTCAGCATCTGTTTCCATTTTTTTCCCTTTGCACTCTAGTTCAGATGGCAATTTTTGTTGTGTAAATACCTCATTTCAGTAATTACTGCAGCAGTATAATAATACAAAACAGTATATCAGAACCACGGCGTGAATGGTGAAGCAGTAGCGTGACTTCTAAAAATTAGATTAACATTCACTGTCAATTCTCACCAATGTGACCTGTATACGCAGGAGCCACCTCAACATGCCCTCCTGCCAAGGGCAATTCTACATACTTTGAATGCAGCACTGACTTCTACCGCTTGCGTGTTGAGTATTTGGTAAGCCAAGTGGCTCTGTCATTCTGATTAATTGTGTTTATGAAGAAACTAGACCTCAGGACTAACCTTTATTTCTGTATACATTTTGAGCATTTATTTATTCATTTGTGTGTGGGCTTTTTTTACGTGCGATGTCTTCCATGCATTTTGATCTCAGTAACAGCATGGAATATAGCACAACTGTTAGGCTTCAGGCGATGGCCTTCGTACACAGTGAATAATGTAAGGTGGGAAATAACCGAGTACAGTCCTGCCACAATCACACGTATACGGTCAATCAGTTTGTAATGGCAATGCTGTGGTGACATTGGGAGCATAAAAGCAGGTTTTTTTCCCCATTACCTGTTATATTTTGGACATGACTCATTGTTGTGCAGTTGTATTTTACTGAGAGAGCCATTTCCAAAGCAATGAGAGATGGGAAGGTACAGAACACAGCAACATGAGTTACACACACACATAGTCATTAAGCGAATACACATTATAAACAGTGGTCAAGTGGTTGCTTTCAAAGGCCATAACAGGCTTGCACCCTGTAAAGGTTTATTTCAATTATGTGTTCATTGGCTTGATACTTAATGTTCTCCGCAAAGACGCTTATTATTTTTGTGTTTATATACATATAGTTGTTATGTCGAACTAAGGCTTATTTCTAAACATCTATAAGTTCACCAGTGTTGGTTTATATAATCAGACACTGAATATAGAAACTGGTCCAGAGTTTGCGTGTGGTGAGCCAATGCTGCTGAATTAATGCACTACCAGAAAGCAATGTGGCTGATGGGATGTTTTAAAAAATACTCTTATCTTTATGTGGAGGAGGAGAGACGTGTTCTCTGATTATTACATTGGTTACTGTAGTATACAAGGTCATTACTGTATTTATGTGCAAGCGTGGATGTGTGCTGCTCTTTGTGTGGCAGGTGAGAAGTTGTTAATTCTGCTGTTTTAAAACGTGGCGTAGAACACAATGTAGTTTTCATGTCAATTCGACCATGGAAATAAATAGGAGCATTATTACACATGCATGGATTCATTAAAGCCAAACAGTTGCCTGGCATGCAGTAAAACATAAACTTATAGATTAACAGTTTAAATTTTGATTTAAAGCTTTCGTGACTGCAGTGATTCATATTTTTGGTTCTTTCGGTGAAGTCACGTTGAAGGGAAACAATAAAATAATAAAAAGATATATAAAACAATAAAATTCTCACGACGTTTCGACTGCAACACAAGCAGTCATCATCAGGTGTGAAAACCAACGGCAAGAACCAACCGCCACTTCTTTCAAATGTTCTTGCCGTTGGTTTTCACACCTGATGATGACTGCTTGTGTTGCAGTCGAAACGTCGTGAGAATTTTATTGTTTTATATATATTTTATTGTTTCCCTTCAACGTGACTTTACCGAAAGAACCAAGAATATGATTAACAGTTTGTGTAGTTTTTGCGTGAATGTCCTAAGTTCTTATCATAGTTAGTCATTTTGGTCATTATACATATTTGCCATTTCATTGTGTAGTCATAACTACTCTTACTGTGCAAATCTTGAATCAATTAATTCATTAAACATGTAAAACGTTTGCAAATATTTATGTAATGTGAATTTGCTTATGTCTACGTGTTAAAGCTTGTATGAATGCATTTGGTGAATGTGGTCAAATGTTGCCTTTTTGTCAACAAAATGACCATCAAAGGGTTTTACGATGACATTGATCGGTCGACCTGGGTACCTTGAAGAGGTTAACATTTTCTTTGAGAAAACACGGGATTGACTATTGTTAAAGATTCTAACCAAGACCTTTTTTAACCAACAGAAATGCCATTTGAAGTCAGTCGGTGCATTAACATGTCCTCTACATTCGTTGCTCGGGTTACATTACAGCAGGAATGAGCCACATGCTAAAATAACCCGAAATAAAATAGTAATGAAACCTGTGTGTAATTTTCAGACCTGAACATGAAGCCTCCTGAGGGGCCAGGGGAGATGGGAAAGGCAGTGTTGATTCCCAAGGAGGAGCAGGAGAACATGCGAGAGCTTTTCAAGATCAATCAGTTCAACCTTCTGGCTAGCAAGCGCATCGCTCTCAACAGGAGCCTTCCTGACGTGCGTCTGGAGGGGTAAGTCATTACCATAGTCACACTTAATAGGCACCCTACGTCTGTTTAACGTTACTCTAACTTGGTTTGTAATTGTCCTGTGTATGATCACTCTGAAAACAATCTGTTCAAGCCGATTTACGTTACGGGAAGGTATATATTTTTTGCATTGATTTATGTTTGAGCAATACATTGCATTTCTCCTGTGACATGGTTGTTTTTGTTGTTTTCTGTGTACTTAATTTGATGCACTTTTATTTTATTTGTTTTGACTTTGTCATTTTTCTGGCACGGGTCACTCTTGAAAATGAGACTACCCTGGTCGCTTGTGATCTCACCTGTTTAAACAAATAAACTTGACTTGACAGTTTCTCCATTGTAAACATGTTTAACTCGCAGTGCTTCTCTTTACCTGGAGTTCTTGCTTTGAGTGAACACCCTGGATTAAATTGAACTAGGCCACAATGCCGAGATGATTCCCCCCCCCCCGCCTCTCTCCCCTTGTAAACAGGGTGATCCTGTATATAATCCTTTATTAATACTGAATTGGCATTGCACATAGCAATCTTCACCCCCTACTGGCAGATTAATACCCAGTTGCAGGCCAGGTGCTGAGTCACCTTCTGCCACACAGGGATGGCTAACTACTGGGGGGGGGGGTATCCTTTCAAATGTTTGAGAAGTGATGTAAGTCGCATATCGTGATTCAACTACTCTGAGGTCCCCCAGCGTAAATGGTGCCTAGCAAAAACAAATACCCATTATTATTATCCACGTATAGATCCACGTATCGATACCCCACGGTAATAATAGGAACAAATAATAGAGAACTTAATTTTATTTCGTCTTAAAACTTCCGTGACTGCAGGAATTAATTTTCTTGGTTCTTTGGGTAAAGTCACCACGGAGATAGAAAAGAAAAATCTAAATTAAAAGCAAAAAACCCACGACGTTTCGATCGCAACACAAAGTGGTCTTCATCAGGTGGAGGGAAAAGAGGGGGCAAGCCTCCAAATGTAGCTGCTTATAAGGGCTCCAGAGTGAGTGGGCGGGGGAAAGGGCTGCACAAGAGACGGGGAGAGAGAGGGGGTGGGGCAGAGATAGGGGGGAGGAGAGAGGGGTAGAGATGGGAGGAGGGAGGAATTGCACCTCGGTACACCCATCAGACAATGGGGTGGGGGGGAGGAATGGGGCAGAGACAGGGGGAGAGAGAGGGGTGAAGCAGAGATAGGGGAGGGGGGTAGAGATGGGAGGTGGAGGATATCTGTCTGAGACCTTGCAGCCATTCCCTGGTAAGACCACCTCTTCTGTTCTTAACTCAGCTCACCTGGTATCGTCAATTGAAGACATCTCACTGTCCCCAGGTGATTTGCTCGTTAGTTTCGATGTAGTTTCTCTGTTCACCAAAGTTCCTGTGTCCGATACCATTGCAATAATTTAAGATTTGGTCCAACAAGGACTGAATACTGATGTACCAGCCCTGGTGAGACACTACCTCACCAATACATCACTTGGAATGGAACATTCTACAAACAAACTGAGGGCACTCCAATGGGTTCTCCCTTATCTCCGGTTGTGGCCAACATTTTCATGGAAAAATTTGAGACGGATGCCATCGAGGCATCCACTCTATGCTCATCCTTGTGGAAGAGGTATGTGGATGACACGTTTGTCGTCTGGCCACATTGCCGACCAGCTCTGAAACAATTTCTCAACCACATCAATTCCAGACACCCAGCAATCAAATTCACCATGGAGGTAGAAAAGGATGGCATGCTACCCTTCTTGGATGTCTTAATCAAAAGGAGACCAGATGGCTCAATGAGCCACTCTGTCTACAGGAAAGTAACCGATAATGACGCCGACCTAAAACCTGACTCGCACCACCATCCATTCCAGAAGAATTCCCTCATCAAAACGCTACACCATAGAGCTCAATGTATCTCTGACCATGAACACCTAACCAGTGAACTAAAACACGTACACCGGGCTCTCAATGCGAATGGATATTCTGACTTCGCAATCCGCAAAGCCATCAACCCAACCGTGAGGAAGGAGCCATCTGAAGATCCAATCAAAACCATCACCTTGCCTTACATAGCAGGGATAACCAAAAAGATTTCCAAAATGTTGAACAAACACAAGATCCAGGTCCGATTTAACATGGTGCACAACATTCGTGACCTGATCCCATCTGTGAAGGACAAGATTCCTGATATGCAATATCCCAGCGTCTACAAACTAAGCTGTACCTGCGGCAGCAGTTACATTGGGGAAACCAAGCGACATGTCTCGGACCGTGTTCGTGAACACAAGGCAGATCTGAAACATGGCACGACCAATCCTTCTGCCGTAGCTGATCATTACTTTAATGCGGCTGGCTCACATGAAATAGATTTCTCTAAGACGATGGTACTTTGCAAGCCGACTGGCTATCAACAAAAATTCGTTCACGAAGCCATCCATATTTACAGACACAAACACAATTTCAACCGAGACGACAGTTTTAAACTCAGCAATCATTGGAAAGATGTCATCAACCATTTTGGGTCATAACTTGAATTTTTGTTTCCTTGTTAACCTCTACCGTCAGCAGTGTGGATGGGTGTAACGAGGTGCAATTCCCCCCCCCCTCCCATCTCTACTCCTCCCCCCTATCTCTGCCCCACCCCCTCTCTCTCCCCCATTGTCTGCTCGTGCGGCCCTTTCCCCCGCCCACTCTGGAGCCCTTATAAGCAGCTACATTTGGAGGCTTGCCCCCTCTTTTCTCTCCACCTGATGAAGACCGCTTGTGTTGCGATCGAAACGTCGTGGGTTTTTTGCTTTTAATTTAGATTTTTGTTTTCTATCTACGTGACTTTACCGAAAGAACCAAGAATATGAACTTAATTTTAATTGAAAGTCACTCCATGTTATCCATCAATCTCAAAACACATGTTACGTATTTTAACAGTCCTGAAATACTTTTTCCCCACATAGCTGCTCAGATTTGCTTATAGCTGTCAATGATGCATAGGCTGAGGTCATTGACATCTTCTGCTTCCTCTTACGTATGATAAATATGTGTAAGTTATACGTCTAGGTTTAAGTTTGTGAGCCATGTGATAGCTTCTGGAGTAGCACGAATAATTCTATGTCCAGTCCGCCGGAGAGCAGGCATACAATGATGCAATCGTTCACGATACGGTCCATTGTTTGGTTCGGGTAGCCGCAGTCACGTATCTAAGAGGGTCATCATCATAAATCAGTCGTGTATCTATAAATGGATCGCCCTGGATATTTATAGTTTTTTACTAACAAGAGAGGAAAATCAAATCAACTAGTCATGGGTCCTAAATCAAAAGAAAGCGACATGTTCATTACTCAGAAAAAACACATTTTGTACGTGTTAATTGTATAGTGTGATTTGCTAAACATCTGCAGTGCTACAATATACAGCACAAAAAACTAAGATGTTTTAATAGTAACATAAAAATAGCATCAAACCCTTAAACAAAAATTCACATTTTTTTAAACATAGCTGTAGTGGGAAAGTCAATAAAGGAGTTTTTTTTTATGGTAGCCTTTGAATTATAGCATCTTCAAAATGTGATGTTTCTTTGGATAGTTCAATGCATTCCCGTTATATTTTTCAAATACACACACAACCTTTATTTCTTACAAATAGGTTGGAGATGCATAAATTATATTATCGATATTATTTTTAAAAAAATTGTATATAGTGCCTTTCATAGCATATATGCCTATGGATCAAGGAATGATGGAAAATAAAGTTGCATGTTTTAAAATAAACATCGGTTATCATTTTACAAAATCTATCAAGTGCACATATATACACATGATACCGATTGACCTTACCAATGTTGAAAAGCCACCAAAACGCACACCCTCTCGCATCATCATCATCAGCCCATGGTCTATCAACCACTGGATGAAGGCCTCGACATGTCATCGCCATCTCTCATTGTCGGCTCAATCCTGCACATGAGTAGGTTGCATCACTCCATCTCTGTGGTAGTCATCCTCTCCGTCAAGGCTCTGCTCCCAGGGTGATCGGGATTTTGCCGGTGCAGCTCCCAAGCTTTGGAATGCTTTGCCTTTGCAAATAAGACAGAGTCGTTAGATATATTAAGCCTGTCTTGAAAACTCACCTCTTTAAATTGGCCTTCATGCCCTAGTTCTGGACGCTTACCCTGGTTCTGTTTATTTCCTGCTTTTCACACATGGGTGCATTGGGATCTACAGATGAAAAGTGCTTTACAAATGTAAATTATTATTATTGTTCTCTCCTTTGGCTGCCACTTCAACAGTCGCATCCATCAGCGATTGGCCCTTCGAGCAATTGGTCGTGTCCAAGCCCAATTAATTCCCTTAACACAAAATATGTATTTCATTTGCTGTCTGATCTGTTACTTTTTTTCTTTATTAGCACCACTCCATGCTTCTATGTTGTACTATTCTGTTTGTATTTAGTTTTGTCAGCATCCATGTTTGTTATCCAAATGTATTCGTGGGTAATGTGTAGTATTCAATACGCACTCATTTATTTGATCATTTTGATCAAGATCCACTTTCAGTGGCTGCACTCGATATGCTTGAGTGGGACTCCATTATTCTGTGATGATATGGGAGGACATTTGATTGCCTCTGCATCTCTGTCTCTCCGTTTGTTTCTTCACATCTCCGTTTGTCTCCTGAAGCGGAATTTTGCTATTAGCTGCCTTAATTTTGCCTGTAATTAAATTTGACGTCTCTTTGGCATGTTGTTGAACTGTAACTTGCATCCGTGATCACTTTCCATGCGGAATTTGTTGAGGACATCTCTGACAATCTGAATGATGTCCATGAGAATGGAGTCAGTTTCATTTCAGATATATACATTTGCACGCCTACATGTCCTTTCTCTAGACTACTTATTTGAGAAAGATACGTTGATAGACTTCGTCTTCATGATGGCTGTGAACTCTCGGAGACATTCTCTTCTCTTTCCTGTCTCCTTTGCAAAACTCGCCAAAAGTAAT